TCCATTTCTTCTCAATCTGTTCCAAGCTTCAAAGAAATCAAGTAAAGTTCAGAAAACTTAAGTTACCCTGCTATTAGCAGCCTGATTGAAAATAGCTCATTTAGGATTTCTGATTGCTGCCATGAAAAGTCCATAAAAGTTAAAATAAAACATGGCATTGGGAATCAATGGAAAAGTAAAGATATACAACTTCAGTAGCATCATTTCATACATTTTATTAGAAAAGACAATAGAGATAATATTCTTCTGTCATTTAGTCTGTTGATTTCACAGTAGTCTGTTTTTCTAACTATCATTAATTAGAATTTGTTTTGTATCTTTATTCTATATGATGTCACCACATTGCACCAAGCATAGCAAGAGCTCTTGGTAAGAATATGAACCCGCACACCCACACCCTGGGAGGAAAAAAAAGGAATGTTAAGGAAAGTGTGTCTCAAGGGCTCCAGAATTACAAGGTCTCGCATACCAACTTCTGCTACTGATGTCCTCAGAACAGATCTTTAGAATACTATGTTTGGCACAATCACACTTTTAGTGTAATAGGTGTGAGATAAGAAACTGTTAAGGCAGTGTTTCTCAACCTCAGCAACCTGAAGAGGTGTGGACTTCAACCCCCAGAATTCCCCAGGCAGCATGTTGCAGTTGGGAGCTGAAGTCCACACCTCTTCAAGTTGCTGAGGCTTGAGAAACATGAAGTTAAATGATTCAGTGGTGAATTTAAAACAGAAGAAACCTTGAAAATGGAACACTAAGGTTTGGATTAGAATATGAAGAGTTTGGATATCTATAACTGATGTAAGGAACATTCCCAAAACATAAATTCTTCATGTGAAAGAATTCTGATTTTATTTATTAACAGGCATTACCTCTTTCCATCTGTAATGAGAAATGTCCTTTGGGCCGTAGCAAGATAAAAGTGGAAGGGAAATTATCTTGCTGCTATCACTGCAGACTGTGTCCAGAAGGGAAGATAGCTGACCAACTGGGTAAGTGAAGGAATCTATATTATATATATCAATGATTTAATAAATATAAATGGGGTCTAAATTTTTAATCAATATTAAGGGGACTGAACATTTGGAGCTTTACCTCAAGTTGCATAATTTAGCATTGAAAAATCGGAACTACATCTTAATAGTTCAGTGAGATATTTGATGATAAGATGAATCAGTTCATTCTAAATAGCATAATCTTCATTAAGGATCAATACATTTCTAAGATTTGGATTGTCTCTTCTAATGTTTCCTTGAATAATTAGAAAGAGTTTTGCAGGAAACCAATGCTTATTGGTAGACAATCCACAATGCTTCCTTTCTATCTTCATTTTGGAAGCAAAGGTAACGTTACATTAAGCTCGACTCTAATAATTCTATCCATGCAACATTTTCCCTCTTTTTTCTATTCTTTTTGCTTCCTATTCTACCCAGTTTCCCTTGATGTGGGCTATAATAGAGAATAGAAGGATCATATTAAGATTTAGAGATAGCTGTATAACTCAGGGCATATTGAAACTGAACACTGCAACACATTATACATTGCATTATAAATTATTTTAAGAAAAAATTATATGAACTCCTATGTAAGTCATATTCCTTAGTGAATATAATCTGTGATTAATTCTTCATGCTGAAAATCCATAATGATTCCATGAACAAGGTTTCTCCCCCCCCCCCAGACCTAGATGACTGTTTCCCGTGTCCAGAGGATCAATATCCAAACAAGGATCAGGAGAGCTGCCTTCCAAAAAGTATAACTTACCTGTCTTTCCAAGAGCCTTTGGGCATTTCCTTGGTAATGATCGCACTCTCCTTTTCTGTCATCTCAGCTGTGGTG